CCTTTCACTAGGCAATCAGCCATGGACAAACCATGACCCCGCATGGACGGAGCCAGCAAGACTGCTCCAGGTTGGCCAAACCCAAATAGAAGGCAGAAGGCAGGGCTCCGTTGATATAATCCATAGAAGTCCGTTTCCCAGCGCAGAGGGCGGGACAGAAACAGGTGTATGGGGGGTCAGGAGGGACAAAAACTCAGCTCAAGCATCATTTCCTTTGGCAACCATTCCCAGATCTTTCAAGACTGTCGTGTTCATTCCCTGTGTCCTGGTCCAGCTCCCAATACAAGCTTCTCATACAGCCTTTCACAAAATGGTGAAGGACTCCGTTGATCTGCAACCCTTCATTCACTGGGCTGTGACACTCCAGGGTGGTTACTGAAAGAGAAGCCAATTCCGAATCCGTACGTTCAGAGTCAAATCTTGGCCCTGCGGCTTACAAAGGCGTTTACTTTTCCACATGTTTTCAATTATTTTAGTAAAATCATGGTCATGATAATACCCTATGGGGTGGCCGTGTGGGTTGAAAGCAAAAGTTTCCTCAAAATAACTCCCGCAAGAGAAGAGACTCGGTGTGTGATTGTGTATTAGATGTGTTCTCTTGATGGCTGGGCTTGATTTCGGGATTAACCTTCTTACGTGTGGAGAAAGTTACATCTCATGAATACTCTACCTCTGAGGTAGGACTCAGAGCTCACATTAGAGCTCTCCGCTGCAGCAAGGGTGCAGGCACCTGACCTTGGTGCCCTGGACTAGAGTACTCACCTGAAGGCTTCTCTTTGGAACCGAGCACTTGGAGGCGTCACGTGGTTCTTACTTCCTGGCGTAAGTGGAGGCAACAGTGATTTCCTTTAGAATTTCTTGGGGTAGCCAACAGCGGCAACAGTTTTTCTTTTCGTGTCTGCTCTGCAGTGTGTCTGGCTTAGATCGCTAACGGTTTTCTGATCTATGCTGTGTCCATTTAGAGCACAGGTACAGTTTATTGCAACGTAAGACGATTCTTAATTGGCGCCTGTCTCACTCCGTATCTTGTTTCAGCACCTGGACAGCTCACCTCCGCCCAGTTGCTGTACCCTTCTCCTGAAACTTGAGCGTTTGGCTTCTTAAAACGTAGCTGCTGAGTTGCATTAGGGCTCAATGACCTTTCAAGGGTAGAGAGTTCCTGATTAGGCCCTACGTAGGATTCTAGGCAGTGGCGAGGGCATTCCAAACGAGTGAAAGTGTCCTAATAGTTATTATGACGGGTTGACAGAACGCACTTCTTGAAGGAACGAGTGATGTAAGAATAAAGGCACGAGACACGGCCAGTCCAGTGGGCTGAGAAGGAAGGCTTGGGGGGTGTTCAGAGAAAATGCTTCTGCGGGTGCCCACCTGTCTGACTGCAACCCTCCCCATGTGGACAAGGGCGTTGCGAGCAATAGGCAGGCATCCTCTCCTGAGGGTTTTTCGTAAACCCGGGACCACAGCCCTCGCTGCGCACAGAGAAGGGAGTCTGAAAACGAGTTCTGCCAACAGACACGTGTCTTACTAGCAGCAGGGGGAGTGCCAATGGTTCACAAAGATAATGACAGTGTTTTCACATGGACAAAAATTGCTGTGTTGCAGACCCGACAATGACAATACATATGATCAGGGAAATAACAGGTAAGTGAAAATAGGTCCATGGTTTTAGGGGTGGGGGGGAGAAGGTATATCAATCCATATCGCAAAGCTGAATGGAAGCCATATGGGCCAAATAACAATTAAATTCGCACTTCCAAAACACAGGAGATGTGGGTAGCACTGAAATATCTAATTAGATCACGCAATAAGGCACCCAGCAGATTGGAAGCATTTTTAAAAATGTGATAATATCAGGATTGGGATAAGGAGTGAACTGACAAAGCCTTACGGGGGGTAATTTGATATTATCTATTAAAATTTAAGATGTAAATACACTCCACCCCAACATCCCATATCTAGGGGTCTGATGAAGTACACACACATTTGGTCAAGCTGTACGTAAAATGTTCATTGTAGCATTATTTGTAATAATGGAAAGTTCAAAACAACTCAAATGCCACCAATAAAGAAACAGTTAAATTAGATCAAAATATGTAGTTTAAACGTAGGGGCACATTCATTTAATGTGATACATGGTCTAGCCCCAGGTGTTTATCAGGTATCTGCACATTCAAACGGCTTAGTTTAAGAAGTCAGTCTATTTAGTTAATCTGTAGGAATCACAAGGTTCTCCACAGAATACTAGCTTAATAAAAAATTACAGAAAAATTATCTGTATGTGTGAGTGTGGTATTTAGCCCCTGGACAATGAGTAAGAAAGAAGTCTACGTAAATTGAAAGGTCTTTTCTTCCCCATAAATCTGGACCTGAAATGAGATGGAATCTGTGATTGTGCTGATGGAATGCTCTCCTCAAACATCTGTGTGAAGTATAAATCCAACACTGAGATGGCATCCAACCTCAAGAAGCCCCACGGCCCACTCAGTCGTGTCTTCCTGGATGGTCCCTCTGCCCTAACCTTGACCGTGAGCTTGCCAGGGGTACATACTATGTCATTCCATCGCAAGTCCCAGTCCCAATGGAAAATTTCCATAGTTAAGAATATCGTTATCATTCCACATATTTTCTTTTCTTGTCCAAAGAAACCTGGTCACCAGCACTGTTGTCATCTTTCAAAGAAAGAGACACAGACACAGACTTCAAAGCAGGCTCCAGCCTCTGAGGGGTCAGCACAGAGCCTGACGCGGGGCTCGAACCCACAAGCCATGAGATCATGACTTGAGCAGAAGTCGGACACCCAACCGACTGAGCCACCCAGGCGCCCCACATCTGGTAACTTTTTTATGTTTATTTATTTTTGAGAGAGACAGAGAGAGAGAGAGAGTGCGCGCGAATGGGGTGGAGGGACACAGAATCTGAAACAGGCTCTGGGCTCTGAAAGGTCAGCACAGAGCCCGACTCGGGGCTCCAACCCACTAACCGTGAGATCACGACCTGAGCCGAAGTTAGACGCTTAACCGACTGAGGTGCTCCATCTATGCATCTGATAGGGATTCAGAAAATTCTGGGTTCAAATCCAGACTACTCTAGGACCTGGGAGCTGGTGTGTTAACCTTGCCTTTTATTTCTGGTGCTCTGATCTCTGAGACCTCCCTGATCCTGGAGGGGACAACCCCTCCCGGGGCTAATTCCTAAAGATCGGTAACAACTCAACCTGCAGTGTCCCTTTCATATGCAAACCCATCAATTCCAGGTCTATGCCCCATCGCCTCCTATGTGGGGCTCTCACAATCTGGGTCACTCTCCCCCTGCCGTAACCATTCCAGGGCCAGTTTCCAGACGACTAGGGACAACACATACGCTCCCCAGCCCGCTGAGATTCTTCACATCAGTGAATCCTAAACCTGCTGTGTCTGATCGCCTCACTTGTTTCTTCCCACGGAAACCACAATGAAGGTCCCCGCCCGTGTTCCCCACACCCCTGCCTCCTGATGGATCCTGGTGCTTCCTGGAGTGCTCCCCACCAGTGGCATGCTCCCTCCATTTGGGAAGTGTCGGCAACGAACTGTCTTTTCCACGGCAGCTCTCTCCTGATCTGTTGGCCCCGCCATACCTAGATAATAAAACCTACACTTTAGGGGCACCTGGGGGGCTCAGTTGGCTAAGTGTCCGACTCTTGACTTCGGCTCAGGTCATGATCACTCAGTTCGTGGGTTCGGGACCCGCATCAGGCTCTCCATTGACAATGCAGAGCCTGCTTGGAATTCTCTCTCTCTCTTCCTCTCTCTCTGCCCCTCTCCCGCTCTCTCTCTCTAAGTCTCTCAAAATAAATGAGTAAACTTAAAAACTTACATTTTAAAGCTCCTGTGTAGTTGACCCTTTAAGAACCAATGTCTTCATTTGTAAAAAAGGAGAGAGCAATAGCTTTCCCTTAAAGTGCTCATAGATTTAAATTTAAAAATGGATAAACTCTTCTTCAGAGCAGTTGCACGAAGGGGGACTTGGTTCGTTTCACACCATCCTTACAAGACATCATGGCTGGGAGATCCATCCCGCTGACCAAAGCAGATCTGACTGGTTATGAAGATTCTCCGGGCAGCAAAGGATAGATACCGAGTTCTGCTTTATGAAATCTCCTGCACCCAGAGGCACCGTCTACTTCAGGGCCATTTCCAGCTCAGGCACTCTTTGTCCTTGCCTAGAAAATGCAACCACAGATATCCCCACAACTCTTGAGGAAAACGCCAGTTCATTAAAACCGAGCCCCTTTGGCCTTCTGAGGGCATATTGTCGCCAGCAGGCATTCTCGATGGACTGCGGTTTCTGAGGCTCCAAACGCGGCGGTGGCAGTGGTCACACTTGGGGCACCGTCGGACCCTTCGAGTTACCCACAGACCCCGTTTCTGGCCGGGCGAAGAGCGTCTCGTGGAGGGCATGGGAGCCACACGGGACTCTGTCAAAGAAGTGCGGGCGTGTGTCCTCCAAAGACGCATCCTGTGGGCATCCCTCCAAAACGTTGCAGGCGGATCCTGGCGATGACCACCTGAAATAAAATCGCCAGCGTTCCCTAAGGATGACGTCTTGTGGGTATTCAGGAGGGTTAACCGTCTGTATCAAACGTGAGAAACCAGGAATTTCAGGACTCTGGTGTGAAAAGGCAAGAGTCCCTTGGAAAGCGTCAAGCGTGGAGTCTCTCCCACCGGCGGTGAAGTCCCGCGGGGTGGCCTGGCCCACACCTTCTGTGTGGTGATGGTGTTCATCCCACCTACGCGGAAGCTGATCGGAGAACTGGTGTCCCTACAAACGATAGTCACGTTGGCTGTTAAATCGTTGACTCTGGGAATCCATTCTGAGAGAGGTTGGAATCGCCCTGTGGAGGGAATCCCCTCCGTACAAGGCTGTGCAAGATACCTTTCCTGACTGTTTCCTCTTCAAATCCCAGAGGAACTGCTCCCCTTCCTATCATCTGAGACACACGGCCCCACCCAGGTCCGGCCACCATGCGGCAACACGGCCACCACGTCTGGGACCAGAACAGCATCCCTGGAGGCCATCTGATGCACAGCTGGAAACTGAGCTTTGCCATTCAAGGGCAGATCCAAAGGCCCCTCAGGGATCTGAAGGGGAAGAGAAGAGTGGGGTCCAGTTTTCCCCCGCTGGAAGCAGCGTGAGGGAGCCCAGTACTGTGTTAATACACATTAGCCAATCACGCTTATTCTGGAAGACTTGAATCCTTTTGAATGTATCGAAGACAATTTTATGGCCTCGAATATAATCTGTCTTTGCATCCGTTTTGTGCACTTTTGGGAAGGATGTGTGTTTGGCTCTTGTTGGCTAGACTGTCTCATACATGGCAGTCCCGTCAAGTTTGTCAATAGGGTTGATTAAATCGACACCTTTGCTGACGTTCTGCCCACTTGTTCTGTTAATTATTGGGGGGGG